GAGAGAGAGAGTCATAGGAAAGGCAGTATTGACGGCAACGAAGAGAACTCGTGCGTGAACAAAATCGATCGTTAATGAGAAGAGAAGTGTAGGCGACGACGACGACAGCCGCATCTATAATCTTGAAAAATGTCCTTCTATTTTTTATTCGGCTGTTGCCAGTAAAACAGTAATTTCGACATTTTGCATTCGAAGTAAAAAAAAAAAAAAAAAAAGAAAAAAAAACTGTGACTATGGATATCAATCTATTAATGGTAACTATACTAAAAAAACGATATGAATATCTATTGATTATACATAATTACATATGTATGTCTTTTTTTAAAAAAAAAAAAAAAAGAAAAATGACAAGTTTAATATAAGTATATATTTAATTTAATTTGTTTTATTTCAGATCATGACAAGCATTTGCTGTTAGCTCTTCTTTTTTTTTTGTTTCAATGGCTGATACCATAATGACTGATAACCATTCGACCTATCAGAATAATAATAATAATAATAATAATAATAATAATAACGACAATACAAACGTGACTGATAATAGTGACGAAAAAATTGATGGTACCGAAAATGGATTAGAAGAAACAACGCAACAATGTATGAAATATAGAACAAAAAAAAAAAACATGTGAATCGATAAAAATTGATTTATTTATTTTTTTTCGTTCTTTTTTCTAGCTTATGACAAACTTCGAGATACACCAAGCCATGTTTCTAATGGTATTAAACGACGTAAGAAATTTTTAGTTCATCTTAATTTTAAATATTAATAAATTTTGTTATTTTTGTAGAAAAAAATCGTTTTTGTTCATCATCAATGAATCAACTTGGTGGTGAATTTATTAATGGTCGACCATTACCAACAGATACACGTGAACGAATAGTTGCATTAGCTGAAAACGGTGTACGACCATGTGAAATAAGTCGTCAAGTAATATTATTCTAATATTTAATTGAATTTTTTCAAATATCTATTTGTTATTTTTTTTTTAGCTTCAAGTATCACATGGTTGTGTTAGTAAAATATTAAAAAGGTGAGTTATACATATTATAAAGGTCAAATTCAGAAAATATATCGTTATATACTACAGAATATATTTATATGTTGTCTAGATACTTGTTTCTTCTTCTTCTCCTTCGTAAATAGTGTAAGATTCTAAGCTCATGGTGATGGTGACTAACTATAGCATAATATTAAAAAAGAATTCTTTTTTCGGATAATAGAAAATTTTATTTTATTTTTTTATTGCAATAGATATCGTTTATTTGGTACAACTCAT